TAAATAAAAGTTGAAAAAACCAACAGAAAATATTTTGGTTTTTAGAAAGATTTCGCAGAAACCTTCAAAACCAAGAGAATATTTTTTCATTGAATTTAAGTACAGCAGAGGAGTCCTAAGGCTTCTGGAAAAACATCCATTGCTCCCGAACCATGGATTTTCGAGATGCTGCTTGAATCCAGTTTTGTAGAGGTCACTTCGAACTATAGGAAATACAAGAAAATGACGTACTTCTTTCGTTATCGTCGTCAGAGAATTTCTCTCCTTTCTTTAGTTTCTAAAGTCTTTCGGCCTATAGTACCCAGTATGACAGAAAGATATATCAATCTTCGTCGAGCACGAATAGCTCAATGGTATGTGTAATTCTTTAGGTCTCATGTTCGAATCCCCCAGTCGCCGTCATTTCGTAAGTAATAATTGTTCTGCTACTTCTAGGGAGAATAATAGAGATATCTTGAAGGAAATGAACTATATAGACAGCCACATCGATAGTGACAGATAACGTTCCTTTTTTTGTTTTTTTTGGAAGTTTTGATAAACGTGTTTAAACGCTTTTATCTTAAAAAACGCGTTTGAACGCTTCAAATGTTTCATTTCTAGGCCGTTTTTAAGCGTTTGATGAACAAAACGCGTTGGTTTAGAAGTGAAATAAAAGGCGTTTGAACGGTGCAAATGTTTCATTTTGAAGCCGTTTAAACGCGTCTGGATTGCGTTTATAAATGCTGCTCGTAAACGTGTTTTTTAGAGCCGAAATTATTACATCGGTGGTGACGAAAAATGATAAGAAATGATTTATAAAGGAGATCAGGGACAATGTTTGAAAGTCCAGAGTGTTGGAAAGTAAAAAGGGAAGCATATCGCGTCATTTTAACTCAAAATCATATTGCATAGTTTTGTAGCAGAAACCGTTTCCCGTCGTTTAACTACACCGCTAATTAAATGTATTAAAAATCTATATAAATTAGTAACAAATGTTCGACTTGGTGATAGTTTTCAGCAAATACCATCATTACATAAAAATAAAAAAGAACAGTGGTCATCCACGAGCCGTACACAATCAATCCATGCTCAAATTAGAATATTTTGTTTATTTTAAGAAGTTTGAAAGATGAAATTGTTAAGACTGGTGCTAATAATCTGCTCCGACAATGGTTTACCTTAACGGGTTGATGTCGGACAATAGCTTTTTTTCTAGAAATCCAAGATCATTGATCGTAATGAAAACAAGTCTTAATCAGATCTCGCTAAATTAAACATAGATGTAGTTTTCCCATTCCGACCGAGGAACAGGTTATTGACAAGAATAATTTTGGGATCCTATTTCCGCCAGCCCAGATTTCAAGCCTAGCACAGTCATATTTCGCAAGCACTGAAGGATTCCAGGATTCCACAAGCATACTTCTCAATGATTCCAGATTTCCAGGATTCGAGGATTCCAGGATTCCACAAGCATACTTCTCAAGGAAGGCAGGATTCTATGATTCGAGGAGTCCACAATTATAGGGTTCCACGATTCGAGGCTTCCATAATCATGTTTTTCGAGGACTGAAGGATTCATGGACATTTGTCATTAATTTCACTTTTCACACGCTGTATAAATCAGTTTGTACTAGTCCCAAAAGGAATCACTTTTTCAGTCGGTTTTTCTACAAAATGCTGTCGTTGAACAGAATGTAGACGACGAGAAGGATATCAAATATTTACAGCCTGAATTTTTTCCTTTCTGCTTTCTTCTCTGAAGAAAAGTGAATGAAGTATGACTGACCCGGGATGTCTAGTTATCGTTAAAACCAAGTAATCAATGTATAGCGTACATTTTCGTGTTAGAAAGCTAAAATGTAAGTACATATGGAGTGAATTAGGAAAAGTTAGATTCAGCATTAAAAGTTTGAAACTGGCAAAGTGTAGAAAATAATATTATCCAAAGAACTTTATAGAAATTTTCGTTGTATTAATCGTTCTTTTATAAAAGTCGGTAGATGCGTGTGATTTTGTTTCGAAAAACGAAAGTTGATATGATTATGGCGGCTCGAGCTTTGCGAACATAAGATTTTATTATGAAGAGTCTATCTACTTCAAATCATGTTTGAAACATCTATCACGACATTTCAATGTTAAACAAACTTGAGGAAAAATTTAGGAAAGCTGATGGATCTTGAGGTATTCTACAAAGAAACAAGCACTGCTCCTCTGCTTATCGTGGAGGTTTCGGTTCAAATACTTCCTTCATACAAACACTGAGGGGGGGGGGGGGGGGGCAAGGAAGTGAGTACTGAGAGTGAGTAACAAAACAACATTCAACGTGCGGGTGTAGTGGGCTAGCCGCCAGACATTCTGAATATCTTAAATATGACATTCCATGTTGGAAATTTTGCTAGCGTGATAAATAATTGATTTCTATACGCGTTTAGCAGAGAATTTGTTGTTTTAATACATAACCCAAAGAGTTAAAACTGAAAAGTGATATCGTTTTTGGAGAAATGTTTAATTAAAATGATAAAGTTCAGCGAAATTCAGCGAAGTTTTGAGAAAGTTTCTAATTTGAGTTTTCCGTTACTCTGGCGCAGATAAAAAGGTGTTACTCTAGTGAATAAAGGTGTTTGAGGTAGGTAACTTAATGCTTTAGCAATAAAAGTTGAATGGTAATTTCAACTTTTGGCTAAATGTCTACTTTAATGTCCACTACATCTCTCTAAAGAACTTCTCTAAGAACACTGGGAACTTATTTTATCATGTTTCACTCGACTTTGTCTTCGGAAGCATGATGCCATTTAGATAAACCATTCACTCCCGGCTCAATTGAAATGTTAGCTCAAAGTGAGTACTTAGTAATTTTATTTCTGCATGCTTTTGCAAAAGCAGATACAAATTACAGAAATTCCGAGTATAGCAATCGTGTGCACAGCACGTTAACAGAAAAATAAGTAGCGTTATCGGTGTAACGAACACTGGTTTTTTGCGAGACTGGTTTAAAATGAGGATAACAAAAACACAGACACCTTCAATCACACACATGTCTGGTATATAAATTCTATACAGACTATGTTACTGTCAATATAACGTGTAGAGTATAAAATTTTTACGTTCAAACAAATAATGATTTTCCAACATTCTTGGGATTCAGACTGACTAAATTGAACCGTAATAGACGGTAATATAATATACAACAAATAGGAAAAGGCTTTACGCCTCCTTGACAAAGAAAAAAATTCGAGTTGGACAAACGGAGGTCTTTTACTGCTCAAAACAGCTTACAACAATTATTTAACTCTTGAGAACGGATCACGTATATATACGTGACGGTTCTGAATCAACTCGTAAGTGTCTTATGCAGGTCTCTTATGATACTTTGAGTGTCTTTGTTTCTTTTGTAGATCAAAATGGCATCAGTCACAGAAGCTAGAAAAACTAACCATAATGAAATTTCTTACAGCGTTGAATTTTCTGAAATACACCCACTACGTAGACTTTTCTAAGGGCTTTTTTTCCAAGGTAGACTTACAGTGTTTTCGCTTTTCTTCTTCAGCAAAGGTTTGAGTGCCCTGCTTAGGTTTTTTTTCAGATGTCGAAGCTAAAAATCGATCCAAACGCTCTTCATAAGAGACATAAGCAGAAATGTCTGGAATATACATCTGGAGCTCGACTTGAAAACTATGTTCGAAGTCAACGTATTATTGATTTTTCCGTAATTATGAACAACAGAATTGCAATGTAATGGTACTCTTTTATTGTGGGTTAATCAGTATTTCGACATTCGCAAACGAATCGAGAGTTTATATCGATCCGGAAAAGTCAAGTGGTTACCAATCAACAAATCTTTTTGGTTTCCTACTGGGTCAGAGTGGTAAGTTTAACGATCTTCGGCTAAACTACTACTACTAGAATATCTATCTTTCTTCTTTTACCTCCCAAAAAGTAGCTTTTTTTTCAGAAAAACGTCGTTTCCCATAGTTTGTTCTTTGAACAATGTTTTCAGAAGTACATTTTAAATATCATTTTCTTTTTTAGATCGTGGTAAATCATATCATGTTTCGAAGATTATTAAAGCTTCTAATAAAGCCAATTCTTTTATTCAGCAACGTGAAGCTCAATTGAAACGACACCAACAGTCGAGACCTAATGAGGATCTCCAGTTCGTTTCAAGCTGTTCATTATCCAGATCAAAATCAAAACGAAACGCATCGGAAACTGAAAGAAAAAAATCAAAGCAGTCTACAGCACTCATACAATATATTACATCACCGGAGTTAATGTCCTCACTTGAGAAAGAATCAGCATTTATTATTCGTCACGAAGGAATTGCTGAAGGAGAAAACTGGACAGAAACAGGAGAAAAAATTGCTCGAGCACATATAGTATCTCTTAGTGCGTTTTATGATGAAGCAAAAGCTCTAGCGGAACTAAGGAAGAATTGAAACCGGTTTTTTGTCTTCCTCATTCTCGATCGATTTAAGAGCAAGGACGAAGGTCGACGAACGAAGTAAGCAAGAATGCATTCTACTATGACAAATATGTAAGAATAAGGTGACTGACTGAAATTTATTATAGGCATATGTCTAGCAGCTTACTAACGATAATAAGACTTTCGTTGGGTTTGGTGACCAAACCAAACCCAAACTGATTGGGGTCCCAAACCCCAAATCTTCACCAAACCCAAAATAAAACGTGTCGTGTTTCTGTTGTTTTGACTTTGACACACGGGCGAAACTTGAATGTCTCGAATATCTTTTTCTACTTGAATATCTCGAAGGAGCAAAACCGCAAGTTTTAACGAAGTGACCAAACGAATATCTTCGGGAGATTGCTTTTTCTTGCATTCATGTAAATAATGCTTGTGTTAAGCTAGCTACTTGGCCATCTTTTTAATTTCTGACCTTCATACCTTCGAAATACTATTTTCCAGATTCCTGCGGATGATCTTTCCAGTACAGCCGGACAACTCACGAATTGGTCAAGGTTTTTCCAAAACCGGGATCTCCATCCTGACAAACTTTTTTCAACCGAGCTGTAGAAGCAGACAACTCTTCTGCAGCTTTTTCTCTATGCGAGAAATGGACCTAAGAGAACCACGTTAGATACTGATCATGTTTTTATCTGCTTTTTTAAAAAAAATCATATCATAGGTATGACTTTCCAGGAGACTTTAAGAAAATTTATTTTACTAACAATTAAAGAAAAAATTACCCCACATCAACCACTAACTGGATTAAAAATTCTTTAGATCGTTCAGATTACTGTGTTGGCATAGCTTCAAAATCTTTACACCCATCAATTTGCTTTTCCCACTCTGGTCGATTTTTACAGTACAATTGTACACTCGGTTTCGGTGATTGATCAAACAAACCCAAACTGACGACAACTTTATCGGGATACTTTGAATTTGTGCCATAAATTCTTGAACCACAATTTGGACAGAATCGACGGAGTAAGACGTTACCACTAACTGTATTCTTATCCTCATACGCTTTTGGTTCGCCTTGAATTTTAACATCTGTTTTTGGTAGCACTATATTGTAGGTGAATAGTGAGCCAGCTACTTGACGACAATTGTTACAGCGACACATTAGAACATTTTCTGTTTTGTCATTCAAGGTACCTTGTGGTAGAGTGACGGAGATTTGACCACAGAGACATTGGCCAGATGACGCCATGTTTGTTAAAGACTAGCTTGGTCGATTTGAAATACAGGTGACTGATTACAATCAGAGAGATACTAAGAAATGAAAAAATAAAATAAAACGTGTCTTGTTTTTGTTGCTTTGACTTTGACACACGATGCGACGAAACAGAAAAAAGTACCATTTTTCTACTTGAATAGGCCTGTAGCAACAAATGTAAATGTTAAAAGTTTGGTCAAAAAAGAGACATTGTACATTTAAAATGTTTCTTTTATCAGCTGGGTCAGAACAGAAAAGGATGATACATGACACGCAGTCTTTTTGCTTTTTTTCTTTCCATTCTGTGAGCTGAAGAACAACACTAGTCGACAATCAGCTAGGTCTGAATAGCTGAATCAGCTTTCCAGTTTTTTCAGCTCTGAATCAGAGTTTGAATCAGCCCTGAAAAAACTGAAAATTATTTTTCACAAAAATATTTGTTATTGTCTTTTTCTTCTCACTGATTCCGAGCTGAATATCCTGATTCAGTTCATCAGATAATCCTCAGTAATAATGTTTTATTGTGTTAATTTGGAAGTGTTTTTCATACTAATAGATCTATATAAGCTATGTCATGAACGAGAAAAAATTTGGTGTTTACAGGAGCTTTTTCATCGAATAGCTAATTCAGACCTGGAAAATCTGACTTGAATCAGCTCTGAAAAATCTGAAATTGACATTGTCAGAAAAGGCAGCTCTGATTCCGTCACCAGATTCAGAGCTGAATGAGCTGATCAGGATTTTCAGCTCTGAATCCGAACGTGCATTTTAATGCGATCTGAATCAGAGCTGAAAAAACTGGAAAGCTGATTCAGCTATTCAGACCTAGCTGATTGTCGACTAGTGAACTCTGATATCAGAAAAAAAAGCAAAAAGACGGCGTGCGTCCGTTATGTATCATCCTTTTCTCTTCTGACGCAGCGGATAAAAGGAACATTTTAGATGTAAAATGTATGTTTTTTGACGAAAGTTTTAACATTTACATTTGTTCTTACAGGGCTAATATCTCGAAGGAGGAAAACGGCAAGTTTTAAGAAAATGACTAAAAGAATATCGTCGTGAGATTTCTTTTTCTTGCATTCATGTAAAAATTCGCATAAAATTTAAATAATGCTTGTGTTAAGCTAGCTACTTGGCCATTTTTTTAATTTCAGGCTTCTTCCAAAAACCCTAGAAGTGCCTTATTAAAAAATGTTTTCATTGATGCTTTCAGAAAATTGGACTACTCGACTTATGTACAACTTCATGCAGTCTTTAAATTTCTTAGTCTCGAAATCGTGGTTTCTGTTGCTTGCTTTTCTAAACTCCTGCCTGTACTCGCGTACAGTTACATCTAAAGCAACCAGCATCCACTAGGCATTATACCTATCTAACATTTGTTTCTGGGCCCACTACCATAAGCCTTTTTCTCAACTGTCGTCGGAGACACCAAAAAGTAGATCTCCTTCTTATTTTTAATACGAAAATAGATAAGCACATATCTAGCTATAGTTTATATTCAGTTCCACGAAGAACTGCTACATCACAGTCCAAGGTTTCCTTTTGAATTTCTCTCTTCTATAAGTTATACACAAAGTAACAAAAAACGTTGTTTCCATATACTCGAAGTGCAACCGTCCACTCCATAGTGTCCCACTAATGTATACATAGTGTCCCAACATTGATTTCGACACTTCTAAAGGTGCCTTATTTGAAGAATATACATTGATCAATGCCTGATGAATTTTTCAAAATCTTCGTTAAGACTTTCAAATGATAACCCGGTCTCTAGAAAACCTTGAGAGTTCTAATTTCAAGTCTGTTAGAAAAAGCAGACTCAAAATTTGTGAAAAGTAGTTTTTGACAGACCAGCAGAACTCAGCTCCGTCAGTGTTATGAGCTAATGGATGAAACGAAAATAAAACGTGTCTTGTTTTTGTTGTTTTGACTTTGACACACGATGCGAAACAGAAAAGAACAGAAAAAAATACTATTTCTCTATATCTATCTACCTTCTCTTTTTCCTTATCTATCTTCGTATTAAAAATAAGAAGGTTTGCTGTCCCCGACGACAGTTGAGAAAAAGGCGTATGGGGGTGGACCCAGGAACAAATGTAAGGATAGGTCTAATGCCTAGTGGATGCTGGTTGCTTTAGATGTAACTATACGCGAGTACAGGCAGGAGTTTAGAAAAGCAAGCAACAGAAACCACGATTTCGAGACTGAGAAATTCAAAAACTGCATGAAGCTGCACATCCAATTTTCTGAAAGCATCAGTGAAAACATTTTTTGAAGACTCCATGTTAAATCATAAAAATGCAAACACAGTCGTTGGCACGTTTCAGTATATGTCTGCTTCTACAGCTGGGTTGAAAAAAGTTTGTCGAATGGAGATCCCGGTTTTGGAAAAATCTTGACCAAGTATTTGTGAGTTGTACGGCTAAACTGGAAAGATCGTTTGCAAGAACCTGGAAAATAGTATGTTGAAGGTAGTTGAACTATATAAATGCAAATTTCCGCCTGCTTACACAAAAAGGCCTCACTCTATGAAGGTCAGAATTTAAAAAAACGGCCAAGTAGCTAGCTTAACACAAGCATTATTTAAATTTTATGCGAATTTTTACATGAATGTAAGAAAAAGAAATCTTACGACGATATTCGTTGACAGAATCAATTATAGCAGGTAACCACATCTCGTGTTTTTCTTGCCTGTAGTATGTTCCTGACTTAGGTGTCACTCACAGTGGAGGAATAATAAGATGTACATACATATATATAAATATACTAATTAGCAGGAATAGAAAAGGATGAAGGTAGTATCCGATCGTGCAGTATATTGTTAGCTTCCGCTATTAGTGCTCACTCGCTAAATAGAGACAGCTTTTGATTGGCAAATGAGCATTTAGTCACTTATTCACCTTTCACGTTCAAACTTCAGCATTTCAGAACCCTTACCCTTCTGATCTTATCGGCTTTTTCCCTTATACACTTTAACACTTTTGTTCTTATAGACTTTTTCTCTTATACACTTTACAGTTTGAAAAATCATGAAATAGATATCGCCCGATAGAAAGACGCTCCTTTATATATCGTGCAGCTTTTCTTTTTAAATGAGACGAAATTTGTTGAATCGAGTTCACCTCTCGAACTCAATTTGTTTTCCACCGATTCAGATTACATTCACAGATTTCGACTTAACACCGATTACACTTGGTATCTCACGCTCACAATTACACGTGAGCGCATAGACCGTTTTACCCATTCGGCGTTTCTTTCTGCACTCACTCTCACAACCACAGCAAAAGTGTTAAAGTGTATAAGAGAAAAAGTCGATAAGATCAAAAGTGTTAAAGTGTTAAAGTTTCTGCATTCACTCTCACAACCGCACACACACCCCTCCCACTACACATCCTGCAAAGTGATTGAAGAGCAAAAGTGTTAAAGTGTTTAAGGGCAAAAGCGTTAAAGTGTTTAAGGGCAAAAGTGTTAAAGTGTTCGAGTGCTAAAAGAACCTAAAATCGAACCTCAAAAAGAAGTCGCGGCGATGGCGATTTCCAAATCTTATGGAATTAATTACCGTCTGGCAGATTCTAGACATCATTCTAGAGAATACGGGTAAGGAAATGTGGAAAAATGCTTCTTCAAGATTTTTCTTGTAAGTACTGGAAGACTGATTTTAGTAGAAGCATTAATTATGTATTTGAAGGCAGAATCTTCCCGTACTTTTCAAATTTACAAAATCTCGTAGAAAATTTTTGAATAAAAGACACATTGGTTTCAAGCTGAATCACAGCTTTGAAATTAATTATTCCGTTTTATTAGTAGATACAAAAAGGTATCATCATTTCTACAATAGAAGAAAGTCTATAGAGGAATAAAGCGAAGCGGAACATTGGGAGCAAAAAAGAAGGGTCCTCGCTGTCGAGGAATCTGATCTATGTTTCTGTTGTCGTCAATTGTTTCAATTTGGAATCGAAGTAAAATGCGAGCGATGAGGAATTTGTGTAAAGATCTAATGAGATACTCGCCTAGACAGTGGCGAGAACGACCGTTACCGAAACCATGAATGGCCTTGCGCTGTTGTCTAGTCAATGATTGATGTTGTTCGGGTCGAAACATGAAAGGCTCATCCCAAATGTCATCGTTGCGATTAAGCGATTGAACATCATAGGTTGTCATAGTATTTTTGGGCACAGACGCTCCACAAATTGTCATCGCTTGACTGGTATATTCTGGCACACTGAACATGAATAAAGGTAACATTCTCTGACATTTGTTCAATATCCAATCGAAATACTCGATCGAGCGGATATCATCTAGTGTGATGTCATCGTTCGACGATTTTCTTTTTTTGTTGAGTAAACAAAGGTACCTCCCGTGGCGTCTGTTGGTAAAAGAAGACTTTCGTTGATAGTGTCCATCATCTCAAGAAAAGTCACATCGAACTTGCCCTGAGCCTGCATCTTGACAAATCGAACGAGCATCGAGTCGCCCTATTTCATATCCTCGATAATACCCATTGTCTCTAATTCCACTTTGTATTCATCGATCAGATTATGAAGAATAGAGTCGACATGACGACGAAATTTGATTATATCCCATCGTAGTTTGAGACTCTTGGGTAGTAACCATCGAACAAGGGGTATATTGATCCATGTCGCTTCAAAACATACCATCATCAAGCAGACCATGATGCCATTCAGTTTACGAAGAGCATTCTGATGTTTTGACCATTTTGGATCCAGAAAAAAATGTGCACAAACGTTGAAATGTCAAATACTTGAGTTCAGAAGAGATGTCAATAACATGATCGCGTACAGTGAGTTCATCAAGTCTGTCGATCACTTTGCCCGTTTCAAATTCGATATCGGCATCAAATTGAACCACTCGATTCTGTCCAAAACATGCATGAAAGAACTTTGCCATTCGATTTCGATCTCGATAGGATTTGAAACCAATGTCTTGATTCATGAGCATAAGCATAGCCCGGCCAAGTTTCACTTCGCGTACGACGGCCTGTTCATCGTGAAATTGCCAGAATTGACGAACCGCATCGGAATGGGCTAGGATGAGTGTCGGTTGAGGACCCATCCAAATGCGATAGACCTTCGGATAACCGAGACTTGCTTTTTCTGTTCTGTGATGTAATGCCTCTCTTAATTCTCTCTATAACACATCACAGAGTATGCAGGCTTTGGTCGCTGATCAAGGATATAAGCTGTATGGGTTGAGCAGCGGGAGTAGAACACACTATAGCAATGCACAGGATGGGGATGAGAACACCTCAGAGTTTACTTTTGGACAATTTAGTCCAAAGTAAATTCTTTGCATTTGAATTCAAAGTTCAAGTGTTCGATTCTATCAACTGTGTAGTGTTCTTTTGTGCTTTGCTTCTTTCTGTTCTATCCTTATCTCTCTCTTGCTTTCGGTTCTTCATCGGGAACCGAAACCGTGCTACCGGTTCTAAAAATGGAACCGGAACCGCGGTTCTTTTTGTTTCGGTTCTAAGTCGAGAACCGGAACTGCGGTTCCTTTTGTTTCGGTTCTAAGTCGAGAACCGGAACCGCGGTTCTTTTCGGTTCGGTTCTAACTCGAGAACCGAGAACCGAACATCCCTAGTCATAAGAATGATGTATATATAGTAGATATTGTAGAAAAATTTATGTAGTAAAAATAAGTCATCGCCTCGTGCAAGATAATACATGATCTTGTGATAAGAACTAAAGGGTCAACACTCTCTCTGACAAGATTTTACAAGATATTGCAAGATCAGATGATTTCTTGTCACAAAATCTTATGTGATCTTGTCACTTCTTATGAGCTGACCTTGTGAGATCCTATGATAAAAAGTTACAGGATTGCGCAGGATCTTACGCGATCTTGAGACAAGATCTTGTCACAAAATTTCATAAGATAACGATAGATCTGTTGCTGATATGTTTCATCTGTGTAAACAAGAATGTGCTTATTTTGTGTACGACCTGCGTAGCTATTACAAGACAAAATTCGATTTTAACGGTGATTTCACAGTAACCTAAACGGAGTTATTCTAAGGAGTGTTCGCAGCTATCCGCAATCGCTATAGAGTTAGATTGTCCTAAGAGACTCGGAACCGGTTTTTATATGCTGATGTCTCGGGTACTCAGTAGGGCTGTGACAGTTACCATTATCGTTACAGTAACTGTAATTGCTGGTCGGTTACCGTTCTTTGTAACGGTAACGTGTAAGCAGTTACCGTACAAGTAACGGTAACGACCAGTTACAAGTAATGGTAACTGTTTAGTATATCTTTCAAGAGTCAAATCTCTAAATATCTAGGTATCCAGGGTGAGGGTGAAACTTCGTAGCCTCACCCTGGATACTTAGATATTTAGAGATTTGACTCTTGAAAGAGATACTGAACAGTTACCGTTACTTGTAACTGGGCGTTACCGTTACTTGTACGGTAACTGCTTATCCGTTACCGCCCTAGTACTCAGCTGAAAAAGCGCGAATGGAAAGCTTCGTTGTCTTTTGCATGTTTTCGTCCTTACAAAAAGTTATTCCGTTTTACAACAACTGTCACAATTATTCTGGCACTACCTCTTTAAAGGGCGTTTATTATTGGCTACGTAGAAAATTATTTGTTCCTTCCTTTCCTTTCTCTTTGTTCACCACACGATGGTTTGACTTATAATATTATACCACATTACCTGGCGTGGGGGTTGTATCACGAAAAAACTTAAGTCTAAGTTTAAGACCTACTTATGGCCGGGGGCTTAAACCGTATCACGAAAAGACTTAAGTTGGCGATTTGCTTACTTTTTAAAAGTCGTTGACAATAATGACAAACTTGGGAGTGTGACAAAAACCTGCAAAATAACGAAATATTTATTCTCTAACCCTTAGAACGTCGTTTTCGTCGAATCGTATCGTGAAATGCCTGAGCCATTTGAAAAATGCACCAATGACTTAAGTTTCCAGTCTTAACTTTAAGACTACATTTCTCATGACTTAAGTCACCCTTTGACTTAAGCTTTTCTGTAATACGATAAACTGAAGTCCAAAGACTTAAGTTAGTAACAGAGACTTAAATCCAAATTTTAACTTAAGTTTTTTTGTGATACGGCCCCCTGGTGTGTTATGTGATTGGATGAAAACTACGTGCATTCGTACTTTTACGTCCTTTCTTGATGTCTAGAACCAAACTGAAATAGCTTTGAATCTTTGTTTGAGATAAAAAAATTTATGATAGAAATTAAGAATAAAACCACCTTTTTCATGTCATGTTGAAATGACTAATTTCAAAATGAGACGTTTTGTCTATATTCTGAAGACATCATCGGTCACACTGATATGCAAAAAGTGAATTCTAGCATAGAAAAATATAAATTCTACATACGTGTTATTTTGCATATCAGTGTGACCGATGATGTCTTCAGAATAAAGACAAAACGTCTAGTCATTTCAACGTGAAAAAGGTGAAATAGTTTTGCTATACTACTACGAAGTCGGCTCAATGTAACTCAAAGACGGAGGACTGTAGACGAAAAGTAGCCTGTAAAACGATGAGTCATCAGTCTTCAGCTACCTACTACTAGGAAAACTAGCGGCTAAAATACGAAAGCACATTGGATTTTCTACTAGGGATCACGTTGTAAGTAAGTGAAAGAAAGTGACAAGCACTCCCAGTTTTTCTTCAAACATTCAAATTTTTCAACAATCGCTTGAGTTATTGCCCAAAACATGAGTTTCATATCATTTTCTTTTATCTGTATAATTCACATGATGCAATAGTACTTTTTATGTCACGAGTGAGGACCGGGAGATGGTTTCATCAATATTCTTAAGTAGCTTTCAAACATAAGATCCCAGTTTCTTTGAAACATCTGCAAGTACAACAAACCATTTTGCATTCACTTCAATATTTTCTTCATGATTTTACTTTTAGCATCAACAACTATACATAATGTACCATCGTAATAACTACCACATATCTAGAAGAAGAATACAATCGAAAACTGTAACATAGTTTAAGCTAAATAAACTCTTTTTCTGCAGCAAGGTGTTCCATCAACAGTTTTAAGTTCACGAACTTCAGAACATACTTAAGTCAACGTTTAGTTTATGTTAATATGTCGCTTTTGAGCATTGACTCAACACAACTCTAGATATGTTTTAAGTCAATGGTTAACTTCAAATCACATTCTATGAGTTTAAGATAAACTTAGTTTAAAACGAAGAATTAAGTCAGCATTTAACTAAGATTTAGCCGACACCTAAGTTTAAAAGCTGCTAATGAAACAATTTCCAGATCCAAACGAATTATTATAAGAATAATATGCAAGAAAGTTAGTTTTGATATTGAGCTACTGGTTTTGGTGTATAATTTCTCCAAGATTTAATACAATTAATAGATACATCAAAATGTAATCAAGATCAAGTTACATTAATTATTGCTACATACACAATTCTTAGTTAAAATGAAATTTATTCTCTCTTATCAAATGAATGAACGTGTGAGTTTTTTCTTTTTGTTTATAAAATCAGATGAGATACATGTTTCTATTTGTTTGTTGTTGTTTATTTTCCGTACGTATTTGTGAAATATAACAATATAGTTTATATTATTCTTTGTAAAACAAAATAACTTCTAGTGAACAATACCTTTTCTTTTGGTGACTTTTTTTATATATTCTTGCTTCACTTTATCCATGTTGCCTCGGTGAGTTTTCTTCGAATTTCTTTCTTGAGAAACATAGAAGCTGTATACGACAGGCTTTGTAAAGTACACGAATTTACTTGGAGAACAGCGTAAAAATAATGTTGAAGCGCGAGTAATTCTACGAAGCTGTTTTTTCTTTGTTAATGTGATCAAATTAGCTATCGATAGTATAAGATTATGTAAGAAAAGGCCTACTAAGGAAAATATGTGTACTCTTTTAGTATAATATTTGTAAACAAATATCATTGTTTGGTTTTCTTGTTCACTCTGCTCCATATAATGCCGCAGTATAGTTTTAATGACATTCCTCGTGTGGAAGGAGTGAAGGTGGCCATCATTACTGGCTCAAATGAAGGAATCGGCAGAATAACCACACGTGAACTAGTAAGAAAAGGTTGGCACGTGATTATGGCTTGTCGAAATGAAGAGAAAGCACAAGCAGCTATTCAGGCCATTCGAGCACAAATCGGTGTTGTCGACAATGATAATTTGAAACTAGACTTTATTCAGCTCGATTTGGCATCGTACGAATCTGTGAGAAACTTTGTTGATCAATTCCATCAGCGACACTTGCCCTTACATTTGTTAATCAATAACGGCGGTGTTATGATGCCACCGTTCGGTTTAACGAAAGATGGTGAAGAACTTCAATTCGGTACAAATCATCTGGGACATTTTTTACTCGCAAACTTATTATTAGATGATCTTAAACAGAATGTTCCATCGCGCATTGTAGTATTGTCCAGCAGAGCTCATCTCCGACATCCTGGTATTGAGTTTGTCGATGAAAGAAGAAATCAGCCGTATCCAGATACCGGTATTGTCACTTATCGAGCACGCGCTGCAACCTACGGTCAGTCGAAACTAGCTAATATGATGTTTTGTAAAGAATTAGCTGAACGTCTCGGATCAGAATCCAAAGTCTATTGTAACGGAATACATCCCGGTGTTATTAAAACGGAATTATTTCGTCATTTACATCCAGGTATAACTACGCGCATAATGAGTCCTTTTATGCGAACAGTTGAAAATGGTTCAATGACGACGCTTTACGTTGCCACACATCCTGATATTGAAACCCAAAATATTCATGGTGCTTATTTCGTTCCAAGTAAGCATATTCCAGCTCCTTACATTCGTCCAGCTGAAGTTGCTCCAAATCCAGTCGTGTTAGATAAAAATGCGAGAGAAAGACTTTGGGAATTGAGCAAACGTTTAACAGGTTTAACAAACACCATTTAATAACACATTTAAACATATTTTGATTATACGTGTTCTGAGAGTTAATTACTAAGATTTTTATTTTGGCAGGTCTATACACATTCTTGCAGAGATCAAAGGCTGCTTAACTTTCTGTTCTATTTATATACTTTGTGCAATTTTTTACTGATACAGTCATTTTTCTTGGTAAATTTAAAAAAAAGGCTAAGACGAGCACATTACTTCTTAGTTCTTGATTTAATAAACAGAATGATTTATCTGTTTCAAGAACTTATTGATGATGCAAAATCAAGTTGCACAACCTTTGTTCTGCTATTGTAGTGAAAAATTTCGTTTTTTTGCTAATATTTGTTTCGTTTAAATGAGATTTAACGTGAATAATATGTCAGTGCTCTACTTCATCACCTATTACTTGATGATCATTAGAATTCATGGAATATTGCATAAAGAATTCTCAGCGACATAGTGAAGTTTCAATGTAAGGAATGAGTTTCAGATTTGTGGTTGACGTTTTTACTTCTATTTTTCTACTAAATATGTATTTGTCACAGGTTCTATATGGCATCACATCAGACTTGTCAGTTTCGGATAGTTTCACACCGTTCCCGTTAGCCGAGGACCTTTGAAGATGGTCATCGATCTTTTTTCTAGTTATGGAACTGTTGCTCTGGTGAAAAGACTAGTCTGACATAGAGATCTTTCATTTAATTAATTAAGGCCCCATACGCACTTACTAATCATGTACTGGTTTTTGAGCAAGCCAGGGAAATCATGATGTATGCACTTAATACGTATGCTATTGGAAAGTAGAAATGTGTGCGGGTACGGCTTTTCGTATTCTTATTCAATCTGCAAATTCTTTTTTCCGCCTTTACTTCTAAACTTTGTATTCGAAATTTACTTACAACCTGATAAAGTGTCCTCTCAAAAACTTTCGAGAAAAGTTGACATCGCACTCATCGTTCGATTCCCGATCGAGGTATACATTTTATTTTCACATGTTTGTCTATCAAATTATGTCTCACTTCCAGTCGTAGTAAAATTCACTTTCTAAGTATATTATTGCTGTATAATTAGAAAAATGGTTTTACTCGAAAGAAAGTTTAAAAAATTGTACTAATATCCGATTCGTACATGAAGACTTTGTATGTGAAACTGTTCCTGATCTGTGGGTGCAAATGCGATCTATTCTAAGTATTTGTTCCAAAAAAAATGTAAGTCAGCGCAGTTAAATTACAATTTTTTCTTGGAAATAGAATATACGAGAATTAAGTATGTTCTTGTTCTACTATTTCCATTACATAATACTATTCTCACAAAGTCTGTTTATAATCGTATTTTAGGTTTTTTATAGGCAGTGCAAATCATGCAACAAAATTGCTCATTTTTATATGTTTACCGAATGATGTAATATAATAGCTTATAATCAAATCTCCTAAAGCACGCTTGTTTAGCCGAATTTAGTAAATAATCCTAAACGAGTGTAATTCTAGAATGTTGAAATTCTTTTACGATATGTCTTTTTTAAAATTATCTCCTGGAATCATGAGATGTTTTATTGGCAGAGATAATAATATAAAAACGTGAAATATCGAACAAAATGTAGCATATGATAAGAAGACGAAATATTCGCTATCAAAATTGTAATCATTTTGTAGCATTCTTAGCAAATTAAACTATAATGTTTTGCTTGCTTGAATTGGATATAGATCTGAAACTTCGTAATTAAAGTATTGATGGCAATAGCCTTTCTTGTACAAGCCATGGACAAAATATATGGACTTTCACGAGTAAAAAAGAAAGAAAATTGCGCATTTTCACTTACAAAACCTTCAGGCATACCGGAGAATATAACAGTAAAACATGATCACGTTATAAGCAGCGAGTAGTGCAAACATTTTCATATTGTGTAAATAATCTTTGGTATTATGCTATTTAAATTATCAATTTTGTGATTATTTTGTAGATAGAAAGTTAACATTATCATTAAAAATAAAGATCTCTTTAATAAGAATACAATGGAATTTAGTGGTAAAGCTGATATCCAAAATGACGATAAAATGACAACAAATTTTTATGGAACTACTATAACGTGAGAAAAAAACATACGACAAAGAATGATCGATGGTTAGTAAGCAATAATAAAGTTTATGACATGACTAAATGGTTAAAACAGCCTGGATGACAAGTAGTTCAAAATCATTATGCTGGACAAGGTGTGCTCCTGTATGATGAATTCTGAAGTTGATCGGTGATTTTTACTGTAAAATATCATTTTTTTATTTAGATTGATAAAGATCCAAAGGTTCAAATCGATTCATTATTTTTACTTGGCAATGTTATACCTTTACGAGTATCTGACGGGACATTATTTTTAGATTTTGTCGTTATCTAATTATATGCCAGTTTAACAATGCGCTAGTTTCAAAAACAATGTGTAGATTCTAAACGAAACATAAATCGCAAAACTCATCTAAAGAAACTATGGCTTTTTTGTCGAACTTTTTAATTGGCTGGTCAGTACGCTTATTTTTAAACGATTTCAAATTTGACGACATTTTTCTTGTTACTTCTAGTTCATTGGAGAAATCTGATCGTTTATGATATGAAAGTTATATAGAATTAATTCAAGCATGGAACAAAGCATAGAACAAAATCTTTCGTTCATTTCGTTTTTCTGATCGCCACTCAATTTTTTCTATACTCTTGTTGTTCGAGAAATTTTGTTTAGTTTGCGCAAAAGTGTCTTTCTACTCTTTCTTTATTGTTATAGTTTCTATTTTCTTTTTCGCTACAATCGAAAATTTTTCACTTCAAACTCAAACGTATCGCATAGCTTTCCGTTGACAGCATATTTTTTGTTTCAAAATTAGTTATTTTATTTTGTTACTGTTATTTATTAGTTTATAATTAGTTATTGTTATTTTTGTTCATTTTTCCTTTTAAGATTCGTTTAAACCCATTTTTATGTCACCGACAAACACTTTTGGCTAGTCAGTAGGCTCAAATAAGAATATAGGATTGTTTATTTAATTTGTTAGTATAATACTATATTGTATTCACAATTTTTTGTTTTTTTACGTTAAATACAAAACAGTGAAATAATACTGTAAACAAATAATAGCAACGGGATAAAACGTGAATTAATTAAATTATACTTGATATTATTGTTTTTTGTCTGTAAAAAACAGTAGCTCACTGGTATTGCAGACTACTTTCTGAAATGGTGATGAGATTAGGGCACTTTATTTCACATTCGAAATAATATGATATGAGAAAAGTGAGATTCTTTTTTTAGCGTAGAACTAACTATTGGAGAAGTGTATTCAGAACGGATAAGTTTCATAAATATCTTATTTTTTGTGTGATAAATAGCATTATTTTATGTATCAAAAATTGAAAAGAGTTCGAATTACGACGAAGACTGTTAAAAACATTGTTTGACTTCATTTCTATTGTCTCCTAGGAATTTCGATTAGTATTACTTAGAATAAAACATAGGAAAAATAATCGATATTTACAGTTTCTCACTCAAATAGGCATTGATTACTGGTGACTATTTATTATTATTTCGTTGCCCAGTTCACTTTTTCTAGAAATTGTCAGATTTAATTCAACTTTTATAATGGCTTCGTCTACAAGTGACGTTAAACGTACAATTTTTGTAAAATGGAATAAACAAGACTTTTTATTTGATTTACTTTTAACTCAAACAGTGTTTGATTTAAAATTACTTATCTATGAACAAACACGAATATTACCCGATCGACAAAAATTAATGGGTTTAAAAATGAAAACAAGCACCACTGTTGCGCCACTTGATACAACATTAATCAACGATCTGAATTTAACATCAACAACAAAAATTATGCTTATGGGAACACCGGAAGAATCAATTCAAGAATTAAATACAGTAAAAAAACAATTAATAACAACGGTGGTAAATAAATTAATTTGGCTTTTCAAAGGGGTAAATGTAGCTATTAATTTTACTTTTGTTATTTTAAAATTTAGACAGAAGTCACAACAACACACATGAATAAAGTACAGGATGTCGACAATGGTGTTGAAGTACCAGACTTGAGTGAAGGTCAAGATGAAGAAGTAAATGACACAACAACAGCTGATCCAGATCAAATTCCATACGAAAAACGCGATGAAGTACGAGCAAAAATTCAACGTCGTCTAAATACTTATCAAGCAAAGATATTAAATTCACCACGCATTGGTAAAAAATTACTTGTGTTAGATATTGATTATACCCTATTTGATCATCGTAGTGTGGCAGAAACGGGTGCTGAATTAATGCGACCATATTTACATGAATTTTTAACAGAATCTTATAAAAATTACGATATTGGCATTTGGTCAGCAACAAGTTTGAAATGGATCGAGTCAAAAATGAAATTATTAGGTAAGTAGAAGTGGTGTAGTGGTCTGACCTAACTAAAATTGTTACTCATAAAAATACTGTACTAATAAAACTAAACGTATGTATACTGTATATAGTAGGAGTGTACATTCTTCTTATTTGTAGGTGTTGAAGCCATCTCTCAATTACGAACTACTTCGACAATGTATGAATATAAAATTATCTTCTATATGGATAGTGGTGCAATGATATCAGTGTACACAAAAGAGTTCGGTAAGAATTTAGTTTAAATATTGAACATGTGATTCTATTCAGGTGTTCTTAGGCCTTCAAGATGTGAAACCGCTACCTGTAATTTGGGAAAAATATCCCGATTTATACACTCAAAAAAATACGATTATGTTTGATGATGTTTCACGAAATTTTTTATTAAATCCATTTAATGGTTTGAAAATTCGTCCATTCAAACGTGCTCATTTTACTCGAACAACAGATAGAGAATTACAAAGGCTAACCACATACTTGACGATGATTGCAAACTATGAAGATTTATCACTGCTGGATCACAGAAAATGGGAACAAATGATTGAAACAGGAACATTTATTAAAAGAAAATAAGTCTTCAATTACTTAAAAAGCTTATTACATGAATCTCTCCATTTTTTTTCTTACTATGACTTTTTTCTTAAATAAGTAAACTAATTCCACTACGTAATAAATACGGCCCTGACATCATATTTCAAAAAGACAAACCGTCATTTTATTCTTAATTATTTCGGATTTAAAATTGCTCTCGCATACCAAACAAATGCGAAAGGTTCATCTAGCACGTATCTGTTCTTCACTGCGACAGTATGTTGAACGAGTTTTCTTTTTTTACAGATACTTTGTTATAGTGGTCAAACATTTTGATATTTTCCTTTTCTTCATCTGTGTTAAATACAGTGATATCAACATCGTCTGCGTATGCTATTGTTTTGCTTGTGATATCGATCTTATCTTTTTTTGTAGAATAATTCTTTCTTCCTAATGAAGAAAGAATTATTCTACAAAATGTCATTAACCTTCCTCACGCGAATTAAGATCGATCTTATCATGAGGAAAAAATTTCCTCCGTATAGATTCGTACTGAGCATCTGGTGGAATGATGCCTGGGATTTTTCGATTATTCTTGATACCGAACCAATCGATGTTGGTGTGGCTGGCGTTTGTCGAGCTGCTGCAGGGGCATATGTTCACTTTACTTGACAGTAAGAATTATTATGCCCCAGCTTGCAACATATTTGGCATTTTTCGATTGCACAATCATGTTTTAAGTGTTTATTAATGAAAAAGAGAAGAACATAAATAAATCATATCATGCTGTCGGATGCAGAGCGCCCATTATAAGCAGCGTAAAAATGATAAATGCGAATGTTTAAGCAACAGTATCAAGTGAACAGGAGTAAAAAATAAAAATGGTTAGAGAAGACATTTTCCGTTATTTTGCACACTTTTAAACACACCTTTTGAATTAATCAATAGTCATTCAATAATTAATGTCAGTGATTTGTCAGGATTATAAACAAAACTAGAATGCAATTGTGCTATGCACAAGTTGCGATGTCGATAGACAATGTGGATACTTCCAACTATCGAACATTACGGCACATGTTTAAGCAGCAACTTTTCGTGTTTTCTATGTTTTAAAGAATTGATAATCACTTAGTATACCTTTTATTAGGTGCATGTCTGTGGAAACAGAAATTCACTAGTTAGAAGATATGTACACAGATCCATTTCTCAATTCTGTCTACAAATAAAAAAATATGACGCCGAAGAACTATTAACAATTAAAAAGTTCGAAGTCCAAGACACATTTTTCTTCCACTTATGAAACATAATGTCTATCGACATAAAAGCTCTAGAAAGTTCCCTATAAAAATTCACACTTGCAATAGAATCTTTAACAGACGTTAACTGATGATTACATACCGGTTGCCTAAACGATGTGAATATTTGTGGAATAAATTATCCCTGTTGGTTAGCTAAGAAGAAAGAGAGAAGGAGACATTGTTCCATTGTCCTCACGTTGACCAGACAGAATAAAAATCTCGTTCTATCGATCGGCTATCCATTTATTTTTCTCTTGTATGACGGTGTAAGACAGCTCTTACCCTTCTGGCATTCAGCAATTACCCAGCAAGTCTCTTGAAGAAGCAAAAGTAAGTAGCTTCTCCAGTCCATATAGGATCTTCGCATTAACTGTGTTATTTATCTAGATTACTGGATTTTTATCGATTGCAACTATTGAGTGACGAAAGTGAAAATCTAATAATCGGGTGTTACATTTCATTACATTTCACTAATCGGGCGACTACATTTCATCTACTTGCAACTATCGACCTATCGCTCGATAATCGATCGATTTAACTATTGCTAGTTGCACATGCAGACTCATCTAGTTAAAAGTCCTTTTCCAACTAGTAATCTAGATGACAACTAGTCGTATATCGCCCGATTACAGGCGAAATGTATCTAGATTTTTCCCATAGGTGATGTTTGCTTGGGTACTTCGGATCTCAGTGAAAAATTTCCGTGTCCGTTCGGGTCAGATCGGATCAGGTCGAGTCGGGTTCGGGTGACGTTTGGTTGACCCATTTCGGTTTCTGATGTGTATCGAACACTTATTAAAACTCCTTGAATTTTGAAAGGAGTTTT